CAGATCTGCAGGCTACGTGGGGCTGTCTTTGTACACATGAACCCCATCTGCCTAATGCCTGCACACGCAGACACACGCTAGAGGAAAGTGTGTGCCTGGCCTTTCTGTTTTGCATGCGTGACACAATGTGTTCTGCCAACAGTAGGGGCTTTTTAACTACAAGGGAGAGGATGTTGCCTTTCCTGCTTCACAAAGCAGAAAAATGTATGTGTATAAGAAAATGACTATCTGTAGTTTTAAAGCTTAGTAGAGAGGCTCACACAAACACAAAGCATTTTTTTTGTACAGGTATAAAAGGGAATACAAGCATTTCATTCCAAGACAGAACATACTGAGGTTTATTGTAGTACTCAGAAGTTAAATTACTCCACTTTGGATGCTACTGCTGTGGTTTTGCCTTAATAACATCTGCAGTCAACGTTTTGAATTGCAAGAGACGTGGCTAGCTGGGATCTTATTAAGAGAGCTGCTCTCAAAGCCTCAAAGCCAGAGCAAATAACTATCTCTGCTCTGATGGAGGTTTTCCTGCAAGCCAAAGCCTGTGTCATAAGATGATAAGCCTGTGTCCTATTAGACTGGAAATTGGAGGGTAGAACGACCTATTTCATATATTGTCACCGGGGGGACTAAAGCCAATATAGTTGGTCCATGCTGGTCAAAAGAGCCTCAATTGCTGTTGTTACAGGAGTTCTTAGAGAAGATGAGCAATCAGAAAGAGGGTCAATGGCGGCTTGTGCTGCTCCTACCATTGATCTGCTTACTGTTGGCGAGGTGTAAAGGGCAGCTTTATATAGTGAGAGAAATGTATACTCTTTCCTCGCTCTCTTTCTGCCTAGTCTTTGTAGTGCCTGTTATCTAACCACACAATCTATGGCTGTAGAGAGCATCAATTAAAAAAGCCACTCCACTTGAGAGTTAAGCTATTTCGCTCTAAATCGGTGGGTCATTCTAAACTGAAATAGAAATGTGGAGGTTCGGGTTCGCCTTCCCACGTTACCAGCGCCATTCAATCTTGCTAACTACATTGGCATCCCTTTGCCTCTTTACTCTTTGCAGCAGGATTGATGGCTGCAGAGTTTCATAGGTGTACCGCAGCGCCTGGGGACGACTTGTGAAATAAGGCTCTTCAGACATGAAGCGCAGAAACATCTCTGGCAGCCAGAGGGAGAACACACAAACACACACACACACACACACACACACACACACACACACACACCACACACACACACACACACACACACACACACACACACACACACACAGGTACCTCCTCTTCAAATCAATGACTATCAGTAACTATTCATTTTGCTGGATCGTGAGTTAATGGGGGGAATCAGTGGGTGCTCAAAGCTTTTTAATTAATCAACTTCTTTAATGGTGGTGATTTTTCATGGTTAGGGTGGCCCCCCCTCCCTCTGATCGATGTACCCTGTCTGTCTCTGCCCAAATCACTGGGACTCTTCACGCTGTAGGCTGAGGGTCTGGGCTAAATGGTTTTCATTGGATTCCACTTGGCTTACTCCGACCTCTGAATAGTCCCACCTCACACACATACACACACACACACACACACACACACACACACACACACACACACACACACACACACCACACACACACACACACACACACACACACACACACACGAGGGAATATTTTTCTTCTTACCTGTAGTGCTATTTATTAATCTATATTGTATGAGTTGCCAATTGTTGAAGAAAAGGGCCAAAGGGATGTCTGCCTTTCCTCCAATGTAATGGAGTTTAATGGCACTCTGCTTGTGCAAAACAATACATTTAAAATTCTAGAAATCATAGTCCGATTTTTTTTTCTACACCTACTTAAGAAAAATGCATGAAGTCATGGTTAAAGGCTTGTGGTAAAATAATACTTTTGCAGTAATCAGCTCAGATGTAGTGAACTAGTGTGGTGCTATGCAGCATTTAGAATGTGTAAGCATTCTTCTGCGCCTAAAATAATAATACCTATGAATATACTTCCAAAAATGTCTAATTATTATCTTGAAAAGAGACATCGCTTTTTTTCAAATTAACTTGGGCAATTTAGGCCCCACAAACCAAAAGTGCCATCTAGTTCCATTATATTAGAGAGAAAGCAGACCTCTCTCCAACACATGACAACTCGCAACAAAATAATCTAGATTGATAAATGGCACTACAGCTCAGAGGATAACATATTTTATTATATTTATCCCTTTAACATTATTTGTCATTTGAATGAATTGTTATCAAGCTGAGAGTGACCGTTCCAATCAGCGCCTCCTCTGCACTGTGTGGGCAGAACAGATGGTGTTAGACAGAAAGCAGCTACCTTTACAGCTGCAAGAAGTGCAGAGGAGAGAAGAGTTGTTTCACTGTGCCCATCCTAATAGACACTGACAAACATCCATTTGTGGCCAACTAAGCATATTGATTCAGAGCTCTTTATGGATATTTGCCAAACTTCCCTTGAATGCAACTCAAACGTTTGGCGATGTTTTTCCTCTGACTTGTTTTGTCTAAAGATTCTGTCTTTGTAGATGACTCACAATTCACCCGGTTCCTCCCTGCAGACATTCAGCTGCTCTGTGGAGAATTCTCCTGACTCTGAACAGACTCTTTATCGATGCAGCCTCACTACTGGGCAATAACTTTCACACTGTGCACGATGAGCTAGACCGACAAAAAAACCCACTGCCGAGATTCATGCTGAGAAGCTGTGCAGAACTTCAGTTTTGAGCAATTCAATGGAAGGCAGGGAAAGAAGGGGATACAACAGGTCGTGTCTCCTTCCTTTCAATGTGCAACCCTTCTTTTCCTCATTTAACGTTAACAGGGTTAGCTGCGGGTGCCGACATTCTCATTGCCTCAACACAAAGAGAAGAAGAAAGTGCTACAGCTAGAGCGTCTGTTTGTTCATTCAGGAACCTTTTTCATGATTTTAACATATTGTCCACCCTTCCTTGACACACAACAGACAGCTGAGAGTCAGCTAACGTACATCGATGGCTCCTGCGATGTGCATGAAAAGCCATGAATATAAAGTGTGTGTTTGTGGCCTCCATTGTGCTGAGTTGACAGCTGCTGGGCAGAGAGATTGCCGTACAGCAGGACCTGATGGTGCCGGCTCCTTCTTGTCTATTGGGCCATCTTCCAGCTATTTCAGCTCTCCATCGCACTTCTGCTAATCTCATTCTCCGCACCACCATTACGCTGATAGCACCAAACTCAGAAAACATGGTATGGGCTGCTAAATGTTATCTGGGAATATCAAACACTTCTCAAACTAATGCCATTTCCACACTGAAATGAGCCCCAGGTTCATTTTCAATCCGATTTATAGAATGTATCCTGCTATGAGTGGGGAAAGGAATCTGCTGCAACGTGTGAGTCTCTGAACCAGCGTTGAGTGATTGACAGCTCCTCTGCACCAGCACTTAATGCAAGTGCAGTGCACATGTCAGATGTTATTACCTAATAAACAGGAAAATGAACTACATGGACAAAGGCACGTGTCGCAACCTACTTTTGTTCACTTTAGTTCTCTAGCTGTTTTCCATAGCGTGGGTCAGGCACTAAAATAGATCTCTATTCACAAATAGGGATAAATGCTACCGCAGGGGTAGGGGTTGTGCACTATGTTAAAATCCTCCAACTGGCCACCTCCAGCCCAACAACTGGCAATTTCCGACATAGTTTTGTGATGTGGGTGTGTGTGCGTATGTTCTGGCTCTACAACAGGCTGTTTTTCCTGCTTGCATCTATATAATTATTGACGTTGGGAGGCTTGATTTTTACAGGAAGAATAATTTTGCCATTGAACCATGTTATTTCATGTTTTATACAATGTTTATTTACAGTTTGCTAATTCGCACGATTAAATGCATACCAAGTTAGCACTTCATGTTTGCCTCGTATGAATGTGCACACAACAGAAACTGAATTACTAATTAAAACCTAAAGCACCTCCATTTCCTTGGATCGCTCTCACAATCATTTCTTCTTTATTGTGGCAAATTAGTGAATCTCAATCTCAACATACTGCCATAACCCAGTCACTCCTTGTTGTACTTGATACTTTTATGTCTGAGTCTTCCAGTCAGTCTTACTCTGCGATGTCGGTCTCCCGGCAACACTTTCACAGCTTTATGAATCCTTTCTCTTTCCCCCTCCCTTCCTCAGTCCTCCTTTCCACCTTCATGTTCCTCTGTCTCTAGAGCTCATTACAAGCCATTACCACAGCCAGAGCAGAGTGTGGAGATGGTATGAATACACCAGGGAATGTAGACTGTATTAAAGAGGCCATGTGCTGTCAAGTTCACATATATGTATCCCCTGTCTGAAGAATGGCACGGGACAGCAGCTACTTCATTGTCGCTGTCGCACTTGTTCAGACAGGCTGGATGAATTATTACTGTGAAAGTTTTATTCATTTATCTACAGCGCCAAATAATATCACAATGAAATGAAAGTATAACACTACTTTTGATGCTTGTCAGTTGCAACAACTGACAGCCACAATATATCTGAAATAAAAAGCCAGATATTCTCAATCGGAGAATATGAATACATCTACATTGTAGCACAGACAGTAATTGCTTTCGTGTCCCTCTGCAGTGGTCGCCATGTATTCTGTCTGTCAGCTAGCTGAAAGCTCCTCACGATGCCCCGCGGTTACTCTCAACTCAGCGCTTTGCTTACAGAATAAACATGACATGCTGCCTGTGCATGAACTTGAAACCCGCCGGGGTCAGGAGAGGGTGTCCTTTTGAGTTGTATTGGGAAAGAGGACAAGAGAGGTCTTTGCTATGTGTTGTACTCTGTGTGGTAACTGGTATGAAATGGCTTCTTCACATGCAATAGCTCAGCCAGTGTCAATGCTGTTATTAAAAGCTGCTTCTTCAACGTACATTCATCGTTACTTTCAGGAGTCAAAACTGCAGATTACTGATGAATGTGTGCCTCCACTAACTGCTGTGTCTTTACCTCCGTCCCCAGGTACACAGAAGAAGAGATCCGGCAGAAAGTGAGCACGTTCAGACAGATGCTGATGGACAAGGAGGGCGTTATCACCAGAGAGGGCTCACACACACAACCAGTGTAAGTAACTGTATATCAGGTTTCTTGTCTGTGATGTCCACCGTTACACCAAACATAGGGATGCAACACCAAAGCTTATATCTGTTTCTGTATTTATCTATATTTGGCATTGGTGAAATGTATTTAGGTCTTTCACTAAAGTACAAGTTAAGTATAGTTTGTCAAGATGGGGCAAGGATAATACAAGTAGTATTTTATTTATTTACTGTATTTAAAGCCACAGTGGCCCAAATGTGGCCTGTAACATATTCATAGGGCTGTTTTTGCTGATTTCTTGAAAATTCCTTTTTCATACTGAAGCAGTGTTTGATCACTTTCATCCCTGAGTTACCGGAGTGACGAGTCAGCAGGCAATAACGGTATAAGTCAATAAAATATGGGTTTTTAAAAAATGGTGAATCACTGCAACCCTGAGAGAATCATCACCATACTGTCATAAATGAGCAGAAGAAACGCAAGCTTGATCGGTCCGGTAGTATGACACACAAACACGTCTGCTCACATGATCCGTGTTGCTGATATAAAAACATATATTTAAAATATAATATAGTTTATATTTATATTTCACTGATTATTGTTGCAATAATGTGTGCAACAATTTACAGGTGCAGGAGGTAAAAACCTCTAACGGCCCCTACACACGGCGGCGTGCGTTGACACTTGCCGGCGGGCATGTCTGAAGCTCGACCAACAACCAATTACCTGAATCTCCCGCCCCGGACACACAAGCAGCGGTTTGATTGGCTAGAGCTTGTACTGGCATATGATTCGATTGGCTGACGCTTCCGTCGAAGCGTAAAATTAGAGCCTTAGCTTTGAGTGCATGCTGGAGGTTTGTTGCGACTGAATAAACGGGTTTGAACTCAAATGCACGACTCACACAGGTTTTTAACTAAAAAGGTTTTATTCAAACCAAAGCTCAACGACAGTGGTAAACAAAAACTAAATCACTCTTAACGAGGAAAAACAGTATCAAAACAAAGTCACTCTTAATGAGGAAAAACACTAACAAAACAAAATCACTTAAAAAAACAATAGGAGCATGAATATATGAATACTTAGACAAGACGTGGCTCAAAGCTCTGCTTGGGATTCTTTCTGGCATGATACGCTGGTAGACTGTCACAAGAAACTAAACGAACTGGCGAGGACAATAAATACACCAGGTAATGGGGAACAGGGGGGAACAATCAGGGGCGTGGTCGACAATCACAGGAGTGGGAGACACACAAGGAAGGGAGGTCAGAGTATCTGAAACGAGAGGAAAGGTTACTATTCAAAATTAAAGGGAAAAATCACTAGACAAAGACACAAACACTTAACTAAACTAACATAATTTGCGAGAGATGACAAGGTTCCCATGTGAGGCGAGAATTAAAGTAACATAAATAAATGTTGAGGGTATAATCTCCATCCAAATCCCACATAGATACTCCCAAAGGCCATGGGAAACAGCACAGAAGGACGTAGGTGTGGTGTCCCCTAACAGTCCCTAACAGTCCCTGCATCATACTGTATGTGTGAATGATTTAGTGAGGCAGTGTGGCCACCCGCTGTGTGTGAACTAATGACGGTGGTAATGATGCTGATGCTTCCTGTCTCACTGACTAGACTAATGCTTCTCCATCCTCTGCACTTCAGCCGGTGTCTGGCATTAACCAGTCCACACAGAGGAGGAGGGAGGTGTAGAGGACTGTAATAAGGAGCATTTAAATATTTGTTTCCAGTAGAAAGTCAACTATGAGGATACCGAGAGCGTAATTTGTCTTGCTTTTTCGCATTAGTTCACCCTCAAGGGCACTTCTGAGTCAGGTCAATTTAGGATTTCAGAGCTTGCCTCAATTTCTGCAACCTTCCCTCTTCAGAAAGGCCTTGATGTGGAAAATTGGAGAAGGTTGTAATTTACGAGGTTGTTATCCCACACACACTCAACACTCCCTGAGGCCTTCACACACAAACACACACTTTCTGACGTATTCTATGTCCCTCTGCCCACCATTGTTACTTCACATGGCAATTGCCTACTTCAGGAGCATTATGTGAAACATGCCTTCATCCACCCGTGGGTTGGCCTCAGGGCAAAACCGTGCTTCAGGCCCCCTGATACTCACTGCCTGCAGCAATAAGCAGATTTACAATCCTCCACATTAATAGGTAATATAAAGAGAGAACCCCAACGAGGGGCCTAAACAGCCAGCTGTATCATCTCATATTGATGGTTAGCTTGTATCACTGCCATGAACATTTGTGTGACTGTTTGACCAATCCTGTTCCTTAAAGGAGGAAATCCACTGTGCCACCTGGAGGTTGACATTTTGGTTTTAGTGAAATATCTTGAATACATTTTTGATTATATTAAAACAACATTTTGCCCAAAATGACTTTTGTGATACCTTATGTCTCCACTAGGGCAACCATGGTGTTAATCTCCCTAAACAATTTCTGTATATTCATGCAGAATATTTATTGTGTGACCTGCACCAGTTAATCTCATCATAATTTAAGTACAAACCAATGCTACATGACTTCAAGCAAAATAGATGAATATATAAAGAGAGTACATGTGCGTGGATTTACTAAAGGAAAGAATGCTCCATCACATTCTCAAATATAGAGCTGCCTCCAATGTGTCTGGTTGTGCTTGGCTGGGAGGTTTTATTCAGATCTCTTCCACTGGGCATATTAATATTGACAGGCTAAGGCCCTTTAGCTGTAGCTTAATACTCTAACACACTAGCAGTAAACAGCCGGCAGTAAGCAGATGAGCTAGCTCCTAACTCTGTTTACTGATGTCCCACATTGATTTCCTGCACAATGGATGTGAACACGGGCCGAGAGAAGGAGCAGTGCGTAAAGCCTATCAGGTTTATACACATAGACTGTCCGAACCCAGCAGGATCATGGGAAGCTCACTCTGGACTTCAGTAGATATTCAATATCTGATCAAATGCCTGACATATCTTCAATAGCAAACAGAAAATCCTTTCGTTCTCATCAAAAACGTATTGACTTGATGCACCTAAAACATCAAGGCTTTTCCTCGAGGATCTCAGAATTGATCAGCTAAACTTAAAGCTCCTGGCCAGTCATACTTTATCTCAATATGACAACCATAAATCTACTCAATGTAGCCCCACCCTCCCACTGAAGAGTAATCAATCCGACCTCCACCCACCTCCTCCCAGGATAACACACTATAACTCTCTGCAGCAATATAAATATATCCAGGCCTCCGGGGGCAGAGTGGCTGTCTGACTCTGAGTAGGGATATGAATTTGCGGCACTACTTTGTGCTGCAGACTGACCGTAGTCCATCACTGCCACGTCCCAGGGACAGTGACTGTTAGGGAGCCTCTCTCCTCAGCAGGCCACTGTCCAGCACGGAGACACTCACTCATCTGCCTAACAGAGAGGCTGTGTGGACCAGGAGCTGGGCAGATGTCTTCAGCATATTGGAGCATGGCAACACTTGAGAGATTAGAGACAGGCTGGGGAATTAGTTGTTTTATCTTTAATGACTAAGCACGGGGACCACTAGATACTTCCAAATATTGTTAATTGCTCTTTTTGGCATTTTGCTTCACTCTCAGCCCTACAGGGACTAGTCGTTGGCAAAAACAAACCTGCATGTAGATGTATAAACACAATTTCTGGCATTTTTTTCCAAATGAAAAGTGGATTAACAAGAAAAATCTAATGCTGTTCAATTTCCTGAATTTTCGTAACACTAACTATTGCTGGAAATCACATACTGGATATATAAATATTTAATGTGCATATTCACTACATAGAGCACTGTACTCTACTGCCGTATCTAATATTTAACATTGGTTTGATGTTTAATTCTGACATCTTTTTCAAGAACTATATAGATTTTTAACAAAATGCGCAGATGAGTTTACCCTGAGTACCCTGATGGCCTGTTTCCTCTACGGCTGCAGCTACAACCTTCACTCATCAAAGGGGTCAAGCCTGGGAGGCAAAACCCAGGGCAAAGATTATTTATAAATCACAAAAGCTGCTTCTTTGGCAGCTCCTCTCATCTCTCACCTTGTTTTTCGATGTTCGATTTCTCAGCTCTTTGAATTTGTAATGGTTTGATGTTCTCCCTTAATCTGAAGTGTCATCTGTTCCATATCGACTCACACAGTGTTTTACAAAAGACTTCCAAACCTTATTAAAATAAAAATTATCAATAACTGTGTCACAACCACACTGCCTACACTTGTTTACTTCTCTCCCTAATTGGTTCGTTTTTTTTTTTTAGACAACTTGTTTTCGAGCCCAAGTTTAAATTAACAATAATAATGTTATTCAACAATATCCATCACATCGAGTGATGCGGTGTTTGTGTGTGTATGTATGTATCTGTGCGTGGGTGATTTGCAGTGCTCTGGATGGCTGTCATTGGGCAGTGAGGTTTATTTCGCTGGTGCTTTGAATCCCTGCTCTGCCTAGTGGTGCTCAGCCAATTAGGGGTTTTGTTGCTCATCCTCTCCTAACTAGCCATCAGGCCTGTGCCCCGCTCAAATCCTTACACACTCTCCTTCTAGTTTCTTCACACTTACTCTGACTGTGATTGAAATTGCATTCTTGCATACTATTCATGCAAATGATAGTATTTATGGGTTTAAAAGATAACCGATTTGTAAATGTAAGTAATGGGATTCAGCTGTAGCCTACACTACCAACATTAAACTTATCAAAAAGTGGGAACATTCTGAAGTTTAAATGTACTTATAAGCCTATATTACACTATTGGTGGATAGTAAAATATTCCTCCCATCTTTGCCCTGGGGTTCCTTTCCATCCCTGAAGAGACACATTTGTAGCTGCATACTTTACTATATACGGAATTACGGACACAAAACAGAACTATATTTTGTATGCAGTATGTAGTACGTCACTATGTGTGACTATGTGTGACTATGTGTGACTATGTGTGACTATGTGTGTATGCAGTACATAATATTGCGATTTCAAACACAGCCGTTGTTTTTTCTTCACCAACCTTCCTCTCTTCAGAAGTAAAATTGTCTCTGCACAGTGTGCCGAGTGTGTGTTTGATGTCCTAACTAGAGACACACTCTTCATGCTTTGTCAACTTCTTTCTCTATATGCTTCACCCTCTTCATCTCATCACTCCTGTCTCCTTCCTATTGAGGCTGCAGGGCTTTTCATTGAGGTTATGCTTCTGTCAACATCACTCAAAACCAGATAACTTCTACATGAACATGCCATATGCTACATCTTGGTGTTAAAAGTAGCAGCAAGCCCAGAGCATGACCTGCTGGGTTTGTAGCAATACTGGGACTACCAAGGTCAGACAGATAGGACAGCATAGTGGGGGAAATAATCAGTGTGGTGTGTTCTTTATCTATTTCTTTAGCCTAGCCTGCAAGGTCAGATCTGGTAGATCAGAGGATTCCACATAGGAGACGAGGGAGTTGTGGCATAGGGAGGATTAGGGAGGAGTCTGCTGCCATCTGTTGTGAGGAACAAGTGGGAAGATATTAATCCCACAAGCTGAGCTGTAAGGGTGAGAGAGATGATGATATTCTCACTGCTGGGGTGGGAGAAGATCACAAATGTCAATGTACAAGTAAAGTGACAAAAAAGTTTAGTGTGTGAGCATCACACTTTCAAGTAGCGTTGTTTCTGAGTTTGTTTGCACCCAAGTTAGCCACCAGATGGGTTGATACATGCATTAGCCTGCAGCGTAGCTTTAGCAAAGTCTGTCCACCTCCTTGATCCAGACTGAAATATCTCAGCAACTATTTCATGGTTATTGATGAGACATTCATGATCCCAGAGGATGAATCCCACCGCAGCACCACCAGCACTTTTCACACAGTGATTTTGGTCAAATGCCTCAAAAACTTAATGTATTGGAGGAAATTAAATGACATTATGTACAGACTTCCCCAAATTGGTTGCGGCATAATTGGGTCTGAATTTTTAGCTAATTTAGCATTAGCGCTAGACCGATTACCAATGTATGCTTATCGATATTTGGATATTGCTATATACTGAAAATTGCAGTACAGGCATGACATTAAGTTTGTCTACCAGACCGCACTGCCAAGTTGAAATCTGAGAAAAATGTGTAAAGGCAGTTTGTTTATGCTATTAGTTCGATTTTCTTTTTAGAATGACTTCTCTAAACACAATTTATCCTTATCAGATCTTTTAAACTCTCAAATACCAATGGCAGAATCAGTTTGGGTTTAGGAAGCATGCTAACACACTGAACTCATAGCATGGCAGACTTTCACTGTGAAGTCAGGAAGGATTTTTATTTTACAGTTCTTCCTCTTACTCACAATATTCACACACTTCCCATTTATGATCCTTGATTGTTGTATTTTCAGGGTCAACCACCTGCACTACGAAGCTGATTATGGACAGAACCATCAATTGGTCAGCTATGAAGATGGAGACTATGACCATGATTACCACAGCGACAACAGGTAAAGCACATGTTTGAACACACATACTGTATAATGGGGATGTGATGACCCCTCAAATGATCAATTCAATAGCAGCCTATTATCTCCTTCACATGGCGTGTGTGTCTTATGATAAACAAGAATGCTCTTCAAATCCTCGACACTCTCTCCCAGTAACTTGTCTGGAGATAAACATTTTATATTATTTATGTTTTTAAAAAAAAACACAATGCAGATGGTCATTCAGATTTAGATTTCTGAATTTGTCACTTTGCAGAAAATATCAATTTCCTGTTTCCATTATATGATATTTGGCGTGTTATGGCAGAATGAATTAAGGACATTAGAAAATATCCTCTTATCGACTTGCGCCGCAGCAAATAACTCTAATCATAAGTGTGTTGCGATACAACACACTTATATTAACATTCACTTGTGAATTATTTCTGCCTTTCTCATTTGGAATCTCCCCCCCCTCATCTTTGTTCTCTCCTACTGTGGCCTACTCAGAGTGAAGAGGAAATCAAGCAGCTCTCCATCCCCTCGTCCAAAGAAACGGAAGAAGAAGAAATCTGGCCGCAGAAGGAGTCGGTAAGTGGAAGCAGCTTTCACTGATGAAGTGGTTTCCATTTTTTCTTGACAGAATAATTACACTGGGTTCTTTAGTGAAATTATTTTTGCAAATATTGTAACGAGCCATCAGAAACTAATTGAGAAAAGGAAAAATAGGCAGTCATTAAAAGCATATTCTCATTTTCCATTTTCTTTTGACAAGGTCAGCTAGAGAAATAGAGAGAAGGAAGTGGTACATTATAGAGAATAAAGAATAAGAAGAGAGGGGCTGAATTACATCGAGAGACCGGCTGAGCTTATATAGGATCTCACCTTTGCTAACAATGATCTGAAACACAATGATGAGTCAAAAGCCGTTAGCCCCTATCTGAGGCTTACTTCATGGCATGCATATTTTCCCCTTCTCTCTATCAAAAGGTTTGGCAGCTCCTCACCCACTCACAGAGAGAAGAAGAAAAAGAGTGGGAAGAAACACAAGCGAGACAGGTGAGTGTGAACATGCTGTGTGAGAGTCAGAACAAGCAAGAGCCTCAGACTTTCTATGGCTTTGTCAACAGTTGCTTTGACAGTGATTGGTAGTGATAGGAGGGAAGGGAAGGAGGAAAGACCCACGGATAGGAAGTATCAAAAAGTGTGAAAGCAAACGAAGAAAGATACAAATAAAAAAAGGAAAAGGAAAGACAAAGCGGAAAGTAGAAAAGAAGAAAGGGAAGTCAAACGTAGAGCGAGATGAAGGACGTAAACAAAGGATGAAAAGCAAGAAGGGAAAATAAGGGAAGAAGGAAAGGATGAAAGATAATCATCAATAAGAAGGAGACAAAGACAGCAAAGAAGTTCAAAGGAAGCATCAGCATGGTTGAGAGAATGGAGGAAAACAAGCTGATAAAGGAAGGGAAGAAAAAGGCTTAAAGATATGAAAAAAAGTCAAAGAAAAAAGGAAACGTAAGACATGATAAAGATGACATAAAGGGAAAAAGGAATGGAAAGGAGAGATACATGACAGAGAGAGCCAGAAACGAACTAGGTAAGACATTACTCATGAAAAGATGAGAGGAGAAGAGAGAGAAATTACAAGAGCTCATCAACAAATACTCTTGCAAAGCCTTGGGATATCATAACCACAATATGCAATTGTAGAGTCTCCCCCCGATTTCTCCGCTTCCCCGCCTGACTCCGGGGGTGCGAGGCTAAATGTGTTGTTCTAATAACCGGCCTGTACGGGGGCGCACAACACAAGAAAAATGAGCCTCTCACCAAACTGCTGAGCTTCACTGCACCGCCCCGCTCCCTTCCCCACCTCCCATCCATCCACGCACATCCCATTTCCCCCACCCTTCCTCCCCCTCCCTCCCTCCCTCCCTCCCTCCCTCCCTCACACAAAGCTGCTCTGCATTGCAGGCACTGTTGGTGTATGAATCATGTATAGATGAACACAGGGGCAGAATGCAGGGTTCCTCCCCAGAGAGGAGCCATCCTCCCTAAATCCTAGTCTCCTTTTTGAAAATGCACATTATTAGGAGCTCAAAATGGATATTGCTTGTTGTTTTTATTATAACAACATTCAATAAAAAGGGCTTGTGTCCATTTGGATGCATACTATAATATATAGGGCTGTACCAAATGGATTTTATTTTGATATTCAAAGCTTTCATTTCTTTTTTGAATGAAGCCTTGATTCACTTTCTGGGTCTTTTATGAATGTGTTGCCAAAAAGAGAAAAGGAAAGAGTCCTTGAACAAAATACTCAACTTGAATGAAGTTGTTTATCTGTCTTTTTTATTCAATCTACTTTAGTTGATGAATATAACTTTTAAAGCAAGGTTTTTTTGTGATTTGAATTTGTTACTTTACAACAATCTGGACTTATTGGAACTGCTTGGATAACACGAGTCAGAAACAGTTGTACACAGCCACCGTCAAAAAAAGTTATAATAATATAAGTGCAGTCTAGTATTATTCTGCATCTGTGCAAAAAGTAAACACAATATGAATAGACAGAGACAGAGACAGACAGAGAGAGAGAGAGAGAGAGAGAGAGAGAGAGAGAGAGAGAGAGAGAGAGAGAGAGAAGAGAGATAGAGAGAGAGAGAGAGAGAGAGAGAGGAGAGAGAGCGAGAGAGAGAGAGAGCAGTAGCTAGTGCGAGTCATAGATCGAGAGCTTCTATTAGAGAGTAGAGAGAGATGTCCAGAATAACGCCTCATATGCATAGAGTCCCCAGTTGATTCTCTCTAGTGGGGAAACAGCCACAGCTCTGAGTCCTGTATCTGCCACATACATTACTGTGACGGCTTTATTACTCCCTTTCAGTGGATCAACACACTTTGCTGCTGCCACTGCCTCCCACTCCACTGCATGTTGTATGTAGGTGTGTTAAACAGCAGGGGGGATGTAGTGCTGTATACTCAGTGCCTGGTCTAAGAGAAACTGGTTTATTTGTATTGCTCTAGCGCAGAGAGCAACATCCTTTTACAGCCAGAAATATATATTTCTTTGAAAGTGTGGCATCCAAACCTGTAGAACACCAGCTGGAAAAGCCTGATGAGAGAGTTCCCTGTGGACATCTCCACATAAATGGACGTGTGCATGTGATTCAGACATGCACATCCCTAAGAGTGCAGAAATACATGGTGAAATATTCCATTTAGATAACATGATCCTCCTGCTATTCCATGACAAAACTAAGCCTGAGACTAGGAGCTTTGTGTGTCAGTGTGTAATTCTTAGAACGCAGTTTTCATACATCTTGAGGAATATCTGTCATCAAATGTACATACATATTTTATTGAATTCAATTAATAATGTTCTGTCCACTCTAAATACGTTTAAACTGACATCTTCCATGTTCTTTTTTAAAATGGGATTTGTAATTCATCCTCTAGCTTTTGTCCAAAATACTACATCTGATTTCTTTAGTGTTAAGTCATTCCCAGAACCACTTAAACTCTGGAACATTGTTATAAAAATATATGTTTCTGTGTAAAAGGTTATCCAGCCTTATTACTCAGTACTCCCCTGCCCCTGGTGCACACTTGTAGCCAACTGTGTATGAATTATTCAGTTTATCATTATGATGATTGTTGTGTTTTTTTATCGTTACAGATCTGCATCAGGCTCGAGAAAAAAGAGGAGATACAGGTGTGTATGGAACAAGGAAATACACAATACATAATAACATGCATAACATGTGTAAGGTGTGTGTTATTGTCATTTATGCCTACTGATTGTTCAAAAGACAATGCAATCCGTATGGGTGAGTGGTACATTAATTGAGTTCCTTTTGCAAAGGGTGTGAGTGCGTGTTTGCCATGCTTTGAAGTACTGTACACTGTACTTCGTTATCTTACATAGGACATTTGTTTCAGATCCGGCAGCCCAAAGAACAAACACAAAGACAAGATCAAACAGAAAAAGAGGTGAGCAGCATACCGAATCACTAAGGTGCCATTTAAATGAAAAGCCAATAGGTCTGCTTTTTTCGGCACAAGAGTTTCAAATGTTATCAGTAAAACTTGGCTTGTACAGTATTCTACAGAAGCCCTGAGAGGCAAGTGAGAAATGTTTAAATTTGTATGATTAACTTTAACCAAAATGTGTTTTACAACAACACAAATTATTCTGAAAAAAACAGTTTTCTCAAGTATGAAAACTTTTGGTGAAAATACGATTTAGACACTTTGAAAGAATGTCCAAGAAAAACCTATTCAGAAGGGAACACCAGATCGGCCCCTAGGGGCTCTGTAGTATCCAATGTGTGTGAATAAACACATCTTGTCCTCTGCACACAGTGATACAGTGAACAATAGTCTCAGTCAACAATAGGTCCATTTGGAAGCTGGTCCGGTGTCTCATACATTTATATTAGTATTTTTGTACACCTATCATCCCAGGCTCAGACCCTCAGAGACTGCTAATGACCGTAAAGCCCAGAGTGAATCTTCTAAGCATTCAACACAATCCCCACTGTCTTGATTAGAATATATATTGAAAGTGTTTGGCAGAGCATGAACTGTTTTACATATCATGAATTTGACTCGCTGTTCCATTTGTGTTTCCGTGTGATGTGTGCGTACACACATGGCCCTCATGTTTCTATTTGTATGCGTGTGTGTGGTGTGTTTTTATGGATTGGTTGTCCTCCCTCAGGTCCCCTGGTGAGACTCCCAGCAGGAGTTCACAGCGTCAAGGCAGCTGCTGTAGTTCTCGCAGCGCCTCCCTGTCCTCCACCCGCAGCACCTCCAAATCCCCCTCCAGGTACCCTCCTCGTGTTATTCTTCTGATTCTACTTTATAGCTTATTCAAATGATTCTCTCTCTAAAGAAGCAAGGGACAGGGCAGACAATGTACTTTATGGGATATTTTGTCATTTGTGACATTTAACCAAGGTTTCTGGGCTTGCATTCATCATACTTTGAAGAAGTTCCCTTAAGAATGATCTTAAGAGCCAACTAATGAGAAAAAAGTTTTTTGCTGAGTGTGAAATTTAGGACACATTTATCAAGCAAGGTACTGGTACTTTAATATCGATGCAGGAGAACCAGGTACATTTTTTCCATGCAACTCAACCACCAAAAGTTAAGTCAAAGATTAGTCATGTAGCTGCTACATGAGATCGGCCTATGAGATCTAGTGAGTCTGTTCAAGTGGGACAATTACAAGGTCATTTATCCTATTTCACACTGCTCCCTCTTTATCCTTAAAAAGCTTTATACATTTATTTATTTATTTACATGTGCAGCAGTATTCTCCAAACAAACTTTGATATGTTAAACCAGTGGCATTCCCTCTATGAACATCTCGCATCACTATATGATTTAATTTATTATAGCTATGCTTGGATCAGGAACATCATAATTTTGTAATCTAAACATATGGACGAAATAATGGGAAATGGTTCAAATGAAAAGATAGGAAACATAGCTGGTGCTAGATACACATTTTGCTGGTGGCATACAAACTACATCAGATACATTTGATGGAGAATGTAGTAGCTCATTGTCAAGTATACAGAAAATAAAGATTTAGTTCAGTGTGTTATTCTCGTTTTTTTATCTCTAATAAATCCCCACCAAACAATCCAACAAATACAATTAGTAGGCTATAGCTACGCTTTCCTGAACTAGACATATTGACTCTTCTGACTATATTCATATTCTTCCTCATGACCAAAAACACTCCTCACCTCTGTCTCCATACTACCGTCCCATTAAGATTTACTCTTCAGAGACCTCTGGAGCCAAACCAATTTTAATGAATATATTTTGTGAGAAAGAAAGACTTTTAGCTAATGTTTTTACGTGGCTCTGCTCGTCCAGATTAAACTCCAAGCACAAGACGGACGGGCAGAAGGCGCCCAGCACCTCGCTGTCCCCCGGCACCAACCCACCCGCAGTGTGGCACAACGGGGACCACCCCCAGCGGAGCCGCAACGGCAGGGCCGGCAGACCCAACCACGGCGAGGGCGACAAAGTGCACGATGTATGTAATCTCCTCTATTTTGCTCCCACACCCCCACACCCGCCCCCCACCCCCCCACTCCAACGGTATCTACCACAGTCTCTGCAGATGAGTTTTATCTTGCTCCTTTTGTGTTGGTTGACATGATTGTGATCTTGTTTGATATTGAAAGTGTTGTTCTGTTGTCACTAATACCCAGGTTGTAGGCCAGTTTTCTGATATGATTATTTGACGTGTTAAAGACACGTGCCGTACAACGTGCCGCTCCTGCTGCTTTGTTTCTGGCTCTCTTTGACTCCTCTGCCATCTTGTTTGTTTGTAGTTTGTTCTTGGTATTTACCAGTAACACAAGGGGGGCAGCAAGAATAAGGTTTCTAATGTTTCTGTATAGCAAATATCCTCTGAGTCTAGTCCAACAGAAATATGAGCAGCACAATCTTTCCTAACGATTGAAGAAGAAGATGTGCTGTTACTTCCAAACAGGAGACAAATGATCAAATCAAACCAAGGACGGTTATGATTACTTCAAACTTTAGCTGCCCCAAGAGGTTTATACCCGTGAAAAAATATAAAAGAAACGTATACGGAATGAGAATTCTTAATGCAGATCAAGTTTGAATTAGCCAATGTTGAGAGAGTCACAATTAGATGTCTGATGGTGCTTATAAGTGATACAAATCTACAGTTTACCCTTGAAGTGACAAATCCAATCACTTGCAAAGTTGATCCACGCATGCAGCTCTCCAATCCAGATAATAGTGGTGTGTGCCTGGCTGTATGGAAGATTTAAAATGCCTAACTAAAAAACAGAAATAGATCAAATGAAATACAGTATACATTGTAACAAATACATGTATATTTAGCCAACCACAAAAGCTGAAATCCAGATGATGTGATGGACAGGTTAGCTTTTAGCCCAAAATCACATTTCATTTGTTTAGTAGTTTAGGATGAGTCATACAAATATTTTACAGGAAGTAAAAAGAAATGCATTCGATTTTAAATGTATTATTATCTTTTTAAATATTTATTTATGTTGCTGTATCTTTACAATCAAATCACAACACATGAAACTAGGTGAGGAGATGTATTGCATTTCATGTCATCCAGCAGGGAGCAGCCTAGACATGCCATAACTAAATGCAAAGCAACAGTTTCATTAGTTTTAAGGTGCTTTTTTTTTTCTTCAATCGTAAAAGCTAAAGAATTGTCTAATATATTGCATTTTAAAACTTCCATAGCGGCGAGCCGAGTCCTAAAACTATGTTGTGTAAATGAATCAGAATCATGACACAGGGTGGACCCTCTGAGTAACACAGAGGTAACAGCTCTGTCTTAAAATAAACATAATAGGCTCTTAAAGCAAAAGTGGATCATTCACACCCACATTTCCCTTTTCAACTGGAACTTGCTCCGTTTGTTTCGGCTGTTTTGAAAATAAGGACAGTTCTTATTACCGTAAATTGAAACTTGTCAATCACACACCCACCCAACCCCCGCTCTTATGGAACAACCTTATTACTTTCTGTAATGGATCAGAGCCGACAGTGGATGCTGGAATAAAATCAAAAGACACTAAGGACTGAAGGATGGTCTTTTTAAAAACAATTTGTTTCCCTGTAGATAAGCATCGACATTAAAACACCCAGAACCATTCTAGTGAATGTGTTAGTTTGCTACTCAGTTTGCATGTGTCTTAGGTCTCTCTCTCTCTCTCTCTCCCTCTCTCCTCTCCTCGCCTCTCACCTCAACTCTCTTCTCTCCTCCTCTCTCTCTCTCATCTCTTCTCTCTCCCTCTCGCTCTCTCGTCTCTCTCTCTCGCCTCCTCTCCTTCCTCTCTCTCGTCTCTCTCTCTATATTCTTTTTTCCTTCATTAATGTTTTTTTTTTTTTCCTTGATCAATAAGTTACGTGTCCATGAAATAAATTCCCAAATCTTTTTGTCTCATTCATATAAAAAGCACTCAAATGCTTTGGAACCGGATCAAGTAGGTTAACTGGGTATGTGTAATAGTTTCTTCTTGTCAACCGTTTTCTTTCTTCTCAAGCACATGCTCTGCTCAGTGATAGATTCTCTTCTCCTCCAGGCGTCCAACAGCTCCTGCAAAACCACCAGGAGTTAATCACACGCTCCTCTCTACTGTTGTACTTTAAAATGTCCATGTGCATGTTGCCCCTAGGTGGCAGTATCTCTTCTGTCTGTTTGTGATCTACTCTAGTGGAGAATGGCAAGGGAGTCTGTGTGATCATGTACCTTTGAGCCATTCAGCTCGGATGTAGTGAAAGAGCAGCATTTCATTTGCTCCATTTTTTTCAATCAGAATCTTTGTAGCAAAAGGGGCTGTAGCAAAACCTAAAATTATGTCTCTCATGGTAATCCCCAAACTGAAATCTCTGCACAGTAGGCTGGTTATGTGTGACAGATCCTGGATCCCACTGAAGTTTGACTTTACTGCAGCAGTTGTGTGGATTAGCAAATGTTCTGTATAGCAGCTGGTTGTCTTCAGTTTGTGTTCCTGTAGTCGTACTATAGCCCTGCTTGGGACTGTCTGATCCACTGTTGGTGGACACGCCCAGATGCTTTTCACAGTGAAGCTTTAGGAAACAGCTGAGCAAGGCTCTCAATCAGAGGTGGGTAAGTAAAGTTGACATGCATTTGCCAAACCAAAATGGTAGTTGACTACTCTTAGAAGCCTTCTCCTCCTTGAAAAAATTAAATAATTCAATTAAATGATCATATATTACCATGCGGCTCTTCCAAGTTTGTTTTAGATGGTCTCAATGCTAGTTTCTAAATTAGCCACTTTGTTAAAACAAGCGCAAAAGTGGATACTTTTCTTACAGGGCGAGGTCAACACAGTATTTAACTTGAGTTGCACAAAAGTGTGCGTAACACTTGATCTGGCTTAGGTTTTTGTATTTGGCTCGCTCGTTGCAGGTAGGACAGGACCGTTTTAATTAGTTAGTGGAAATGAAAAATGGTGACTCCAAAAGTTTGTTTTATACGATTACTAAGATTCACTACTTGTTTATGTACTTGGACAACATGTCAGAGATAAAATGATCTTTTATCAGGAATGTTTTATAAAACCTATAATAATACTCTAATAATATGTTCATAGGACTATTTGGCTTTTTGGTAAGTTCAGCACATGCGCTCCCCCGCCTCTGATAAAGAGCAGTGCACAGCTGCCCCATGCTTTTCAAAGGGAAGCATCTGGGACTGTCTCCTACACAATGAGTGAAACAGTCCCACCCCGGGCTAGTCGTCCTCTTGCTCATTATTAATGGATGTCTTCAAACACTTCAAACACAAGTACTCTGGGAAAATAACTAGGACAACTCACACATTTATTAACACGATTGTTATTTCAAAGGGACCCAAGCCATTTTGTAACGTAAGCTCTCTGTTTAGACTCACAGTTTAAACAGCAGATTCGAACAAAGCTCCTGAAGCGCTCTCTCAGCGTACCTGTGTTTACAGTGGTGAATAAATAAATAAATAAAAAGAGCAGAACGCTGGGCTGACATCCAAAGTACAGAGTAGAGAAGTGGTGCTACTGAAGAAGACGCAGGCCAACATGTGACTGGAGTCCCTTTTGAATGTGCTGACTCTAGTTGTCCATCTTAGCGGTGACTACCCCTCCAACACTCTTCTACTTCCTCCTCCTCCTCCCCCTCCTCCTCCTCCTCCTCTCCTACCTGTTCATCTGTGTCATGTGTGACTCATGTCTCACTCTTGTTGTCCTGGCATTTTCCTTCCCACATACAGTATCTTTCACATCTGCCAGCTCTGCATGTCCTCCTCCTCCTCCCTTCCTCTTAGCTACTCTACTCTACATGGATGTCCACTAATATGACAATTAACTCTATCCGCTTACCTCTGTCCCCTTCCCCATCCCCCCTTTTTGATACAAATATGGCTGCATTTGTACAAGCGAAAAAAGACAAAGCAAATCATGTAGTTTGTAGAGTCATCCTTTGTTTCTCATTTAAGTTTGATTTCCAGCTGGAGTTTTATTTTCTCCTCTCTATTTTCTTTGTACTTTTTGGTTTGTTTATTTTCTCCTTAGTCTCTGGACACAATATGTAGCTTTGATACTAAAAGAGGTCATTGTCTTTTTCCCATTTTGCTGCGGAGAACATTCCTTTCTCCTTTTTTTTCTTTCTTTCCTTTTTGTTGTTGATATTGCATACGTGTCACTGATTGAAATGGAAGGTAGGTAATGCTTTGCCTACGCACGTGATCTTTATGCAGATGAGAATGTGACAAGCACCCTAGCCTGAGTGACGTCAATGTTTCTCTCTCTTTCTCTCTCTATCTCTCTCTTTCTGTTGTTTACCAATGGTCTTTATCCAAATTAATTATATTCCATCAATTATGATTTGACTCTTAAAGGATTGGATTACGTAGAGCTCTGGTTTTCCTCTTGCCTCCTTAACTTCATTCTGAAGTCCAATATCCCGCTCTATCTTCCAGGTCCATTTCTTTCTCCGGCTTTGTTTTCTTTCTATTTTGGTAGAATGCATTCCTGTTTGTCCAGCATCTCTCTGTTTGTCGGTGAATTAGTACATTGTCTTATGATTTTCACCATATTGATTTCCACGACTGTTTCTAACAACTGTCATAAGCTCCAGTGGTTGTGTGTTTTCTTATTATACCGCTTAGTTGTCCTCTCTCTAGTGCAGAACGGCTCTTCTTTCTGCGAGGACAAGTTGGTACTGATGTAGAATCTTAGATTACAGGCAGATCAGAAAAAAATATTGTAATGCATGCGCAAAGAGCCAGCTGTATTTGGTTTCATACAAAACATTGTAATGACTCTCTCTGCCCTCTTTTCATGACCTGCTTACACTGAGCAGTGTATAACTGTGCATCACAACTTTCAGTTCCTAACTTCCATTGAACAACTTAACATAACCCTATTCATGTTGAATACTTACAGTTGAGGACTGCAATGCATTTTGGCTCACTCTCAACCATGCAGTTTATAGAATAAGGCTGACATTACTCTACTACTTAACTATTTTTCTTACCATAAACTATTTCCTTGAAAGTATCTAAATGAACAAAGTCTGTCAATACTTTCTTACTTTCCAATTGTGTTTGTGGCACGATAAGGGGTCACAAATATGTTGTTGTATTGTGAATCAATACAAAGAGTCTACAGCCAGACTGGCGGCTCAGTAAGTCGCCCTTTTAACTAATGCTAACAGCAGCAGGCTAACAAGCTCAAAAGGAAAATGCTAATGCTTAGCAGGTATAATAATAATAACGTTCACAATGTTTAACGTTTTAACAAGATAAGATAAGCTAATTGGCACTAAACGCAAAGCTGAGGCCTTCGTTTACCAGGTAGTTGACCATAAATTAGACCTGATGCTGGCAGGAGACGATGAAACTGAAATACTGCTCCAGGCAAGGTAAAAAGTACTATCAAGCGATTCATTTATTGTAGATTTAGGTTTTTTCACAGAATTGATCAAAAAATAAGAAAAATGCAGAATTTTGCCAGCCTAATCATTCCTATACTAACACTAGCTTCAAGGTGTTATTCTATTCATGACTCTAAAAGTAGCTTTTGACTACTGAGCTTTTCAGGGGTTCTTACATTGGTGAATTACCAACAACATAACCTCTGATGCCATACAGTGTAATGTTAACCTTATCCAATCTAAGTAGTAAGCTAATACTTACTATTGTCATGCAGCAATAACTCCCTAGAACGTTATTGACTAAAATCGTAATAACTCAAATGGCCTCTTATCAAGGAGCCAAAACACTGATAGAAGCTAATAGTTAGCCTGTAATCGCTTCCGGATGTTAAATAACTCCTGCCCTGTGGAAGATACTACATGGAGACAAGAATGGTAAAGAAAGTACCTGCCGCTCTCCGCCTGGTTGTTCTCTGATGTTCAGGGAGGCGACTGGGCCCGGAGGATTGACTCTGTGTGAGGGGTTTCCTGCACATTGTGGTTTTCCTCTCTGCTTTTCAGTTCTTTTGCATTGATGTTCATGCATTGTCTCATGAGTCACTGGCAGGGAAGGTTTTTGTGTCTTTTTCTCTTGCATTTTGTGAATCTAATGATGCACTTATGTTGCCCCACTTTTCCCTTTTCTTCATACCTTACCTACTAAAGGAGGGAATACCACTTTATTGGTAAGTGGATGTTAACCAGAAGGGAGTTAAACAAGAGTAACCATTACAAAAAAAATCAAAGAAAATGGGTCGCTGTTCACATCTCAGCAATTGTCTACAGGAATAAAAAATCCAGAAAGAGAAAATTGAGTAGCAGACGATTTGTTTTCTGATTCGATTGATTCAATAATTGTGATCTTTATTTTGTTCCTTCCATTTCTGTGATGTTCCGTCAAGTTGTCTTCTCTTTCTGTTTTGTTTAATTTTTTTTAATCATTACTAAAAAAAACTGAAGAAGTCCTCTTTTTCTACTCTAAAATCTGTAGCCCTGTACTTTCTGCCTTTGCTCTTTAACTTATTTGGTTCAGTTTTATTTTTGTTTTATTCCCTCTCTTCCTCCTCCTAGTTTTTTTGTTTGTTTTTGCGATTATGATTTCTTCAACTCATTATGGTTTTGCATGCCAAGTATTGCATGCGCTGCACCATAGAGGACTATCTATAAGCCATAATGGAGAAAACCTAGATCTTTTTCTTTTAGATGTTAACCTTCTTTTGGCAAGTACACCGTAGCACTCAATCACCGACCTGAAAACACTCTAATGCTCTTTTTGTCCTTTTTCTTTTTTTTCCTTTTTTATTTTTCCTTTGTTGGTCATCATTTTTTCTACAGAAGCTCCGTCTGCTGACCGCTAACTCTGCAGGAATGCAGTCCACTCTGCTGAGAGAGCACAAGCTCCACAGCGCCCCCAGCAGGAGCCAGGCGGGACAGATGTGCGCCGCAGGAGAGGCTGGGGGTGTGGACGGCAGGAACTCGGCTGTAGGGAACTCCGTCACCCAGGCGTCAGGGAGGAGAGGGAGCCAGAGGGGCCAGAACAAGGGCTCCCACTCCCCCACTCACAGCAGCGACTCGGCCCACTCCCAGCACACCCACACCCACAGGGGGAGGAACTCCCGTCACCACAGAAAGTAAGACTTCTATTCGTCTCTAGCTTTAGGACTTCATGTACCCTACATCTTTCCACTGCCATTCAGACATACTGTCCATTAACAGGGATATTAGTATACAAAATATGTATATTTAATGAACTAAAACTAAATAAAACTAGATATTTTAGGTAAAACTTAACTTAATCTGATTAACCCTCCTATTGTCTTCGTTTCCCCCCCCCTTACTTTGGTGTTCACGGTCAAATTTGACCGGTCCTGTTTTAACTGCTATTGCATTAACACAAAAACCATTAATCATCACCAAATTTCATTTAACACCCTTTCAAACTGTAAATATTATATCAGATTACTGGTATACATGAAAAACTGCAGACACTGAACATGTATTGCTTGCGTGTGCCAGGTGTGATCCATGTGGGGGGATGGGCACATAAGAGCGGGAAATGTGTCAAATTGTTCTGTGTGTGTTTTTTTTTGTGAGTGCCAGGTGTGATTCACATGGGGGGATTGGGCACATAAGGGGGGGGACACATCTAGAGTATGTGTGTGTGTGTGGGTGTTTTATCTGATCCGGATGGTTTCTAATTCCTTGTCTTTATGGCGGTAATTTTTGACCGGGAACACCATGGGTGTTACAAAGTTGATTAAATCTTCCAAAATTCAATAAGAGTGGTGATCAGCAATTGTATATGTTCAAATGTCTACTGTGAAGGATATCATAAAGCCTTAATGCAATCGAATGTAAAACAAAAAAGTTATGATTGATGAAAGTAGTAAATCGGTCAGATTTGACCCGAAGACAACAGGAGGGTTAAAAGATGTAATAAAAATAAGGGCCTTTGTAAAGCTCAGTTGGTCGAGCTGAGGCCCATGTATTGGAGATGGGACATGTGGAAGACCCGGATTCGAGTCCAACCTAGGACCATTTGCCCGCGTGCCATCCATTCTGTCTCCCCTTTTCAACACCGTCACTTGCAAAAACCCTGGTGGCCCATAAAATAATAAACGTATAAAAGAAAAAGGACTGATTTTTGGTAGCTATCTCTTGAGGGTTCACCACATCAATTAAACAGACTTGACATTCCAGGAGAGGGCCCTATGTGGTATTATCTTCACATTCAACACTAAAGTAGAAGAAAGACAACAAATTAAACATTACTGACATGCCTACCAAGATTTCCAAGTGAAAACGAATTGCAAATTCATAACTACTCAAACCTTTCCTGTCACCCCAGGTCAAAAGGGGGCCACTCTTCCAAGCGTCACCACCGCTCCAGTCGGGGTCAGGCGCACCACCGGAGCCAGTCTGCGTCACCGGGGCGCCACCCGCACACGTCAGGCAGGAAGAAGGAGGAGTCTCGGGGCAAACCCAACCTCCGGCAGCGCAGCAGCTCCTGGAGCAGCGGGCACTCGTCTTCACGCTCCGCCTCCAGAGACGGAGGCCCCTCCAAGGCCAAGTCCCCACACAGCAGACAGAACAACTCCAGGTAGGAGCTTGTTCTCTTTCACACTTTGATTTGCCCTTTTCATACAGCTTATAGTGTCATTCTGATCTAATGTGTTGTTCTGACGGTTCGTGTGTCGTGCAGAGAGAAGGACAGCCAGAACCACTCTGACGACGAGAGCCGCGCTCGCCGCCGCTCCCGCAGCTACTCACCAATCCGCAAGAGGAGAAGAGACTCCCCCAGCTTCATGGAGGCCCGCAGGATCACCAGGTAACACATCTGTCCAGCATCACAAACCTCATTATGATCCATCTCCATCTATGATGATATCTACGAGATCATTATGATTCAGATCTTACCTACTGTATGTACTTTCTTCCACAGGACAGTTTCACACAGAGACAGTTTGTCTGTGTTGAATTGCATTTTTGCTTTTATAATTCCGAATGAACAACACTTTAGCATAATCCACTTTTGCTGAAGGTATGTTTATTCTCTGCAGTTTAACCATGTTCTATAATTTAAGTGCACTGCTCTCGGGCTGAGGACCGCTCTTTTACAACTGCAAATTACAACAATGAGAAGCAACATGAATAAAATGAGGGGAAATGTTCCTGCTCTAACTCACAAGTGTAAATACTAGGAGCCACATCCTGATTCATTAAAGCCCTTGTTAGAGCAGAAATGGAAAAACTGCAGGCACAATTGGAAGTGTTAAAATGAAGTGGTGTGTGTGTAGGTTTGGTTTAGGAAACAGTATGAAGTGTGAGGTTCTCCAGCCCAACGGAATATGCTATTTCATGTTTTTCTACTTTCTACCCATCTCCACAGCTCTGTGTCTGCTCTGGAGAACGTTTAGGCTCCTTATATTATCATTCAGCTATAGGGGAACAAGCACTCAATCCTCTTGTGTGGCTCCAAGCAGAGGATGCAGAAACAGTGCTATTGCCAAACAGATAGCGCTGATAGTGCAAGTGTAGGAGAATAAAGTGTGAGATACTCCAGTGGCCGGCTTATAGCCATAGTAGTCTGTATCCAGTATAACAACAACATAATAAATCTAAGGTGAATCGCAATATTAACCCTATAATTGACTTGTTGAGTCCTTTGCTGCCTGGACTTTGATTGATGTCCAACATTGGAAAATATTAGCTCTGCAAAAATACAGGTTAACTGATATATTTTTGTTGTTTTTTTACCGTAAAAACCCGCAGAGGAATTACTCTGTTCAGCCATGATTAGCCGACAGTCTGCCTTCTGTTTTACTGGCATCTCTTTCTACTAATTTATATTAATCAGGTTGGTCTGAACCATAAAAAACTCCCTGCAGTATTAAAAGATGGCAGCTACACGTCCACAAACTGTTGGTCTGATGGGGACTTGAACCTGTGACCCTTGTTTACAAAGCCATGACCCCACAGAAAGAGCTACTGCTAATGCAATAGAACTCAACAGCATCTCACAACACTCACATTCCTCAAAAAGGACCATAAACTCAACACGTCTTTAAAACACTTTCAACAAGAACTGATCATTAGAGCCTCCATGAAGGTGGGTATCCATAGGAGTGTTGTATTACTGCATCGGTTTCAGCCACCTGCACCTAATAAACTTATAGCTGAGTGTACAGAACGATAAGAGCATGAAGTCATTACAGAAAGTAGGATTATAAAGGCCAGGAGAATTCTGTATTAATTAATTTAGCTTGTTTGATGTCTTTATTTATTCATTGATGTACTGATTTGTTTGTGTGGTATTGTGTATTGGTCCATTAAATATGAATCAGTGAGCTGCTTGATTTAATGCTCCTCCATACTGAGAGCAGATTGGGTCTTTTATCCCCCTCTGCTAATGATAATTACAGTTAACTTATCTGTAAAACTCATCAAATCTACTTTTATAGCTTCTTTTCCCAGGCAATTCTCTATGAGCTTGTATCACTTGAAATGCCGTCGCTGAGTTATGAGAACACAAAGAGAAATCTCCCACACTCCTGTGAGAGCGTCACCTCTACCCTCTCATACAAGTGTTAATAGACGTGGGTGAAATGTGTGTACCTTGTCGTCTTTCACTCCAGTCCTAAAGGTCCTGACGCCAAGACAACGGGATGCTGCTGAATGGAGCTGCCGCAGGCTAGTTACCCTGGTAACAGTTGCCGCGCAGCAGGAACGGACCAGTCTGACACCAGAAGCTCGGCTGAACAGCAAAACCATCAGAGCTCCCCTGAGTAAACCTGGCCTCCTCCCGTTTCTCTTTTTCTGTCCTCTTTGTGCTCCTTCAGCGCAGAAACTCTAAAGCGACGCCCTTCTGCGCTCATGCACTAATGGTGTAACACGGGGATAAAGAGATTAAAACGCTATCAAGGTTTATAAAAGAGGATATCTTTCCATTTCACAGGCAGATATAAAGACAAAAGCCAAGGCTGAGTTATCTGCATGCTGCTGCAAAGACAAGGTAAAGCAGGCCTTGCAGCAGCAGGATACCTTGATAGCGTTTATCTCTGCGCTGGGTGTCGGCCTCCACTGAGGAGACAAGGCTCTTTTGGGAACTAACAGCTGATTACCTTACAGGAAGCAGTGCCAGGGTGGCTATTAACATGGCAATCTAAGCTTAAACTAACCACATGCTTTTCTCTGCCCTGGATATGTGTGTGCGTGCGTGCATGCTTGGTGCATGTGTCCCTGAGTAAGACTACCATCGGAGACACATTTCAAATTAAAGAAAGGTTAATTAGGGATGGCATGTGAGGACAAAGGCTGTGTCCCCAATTTGGACAAGGCTGTTGTTTGTGTCAGTGGTTATATTAAGTTAAAACAGGTACTTTACACAACAGGGAGTATTTTTATTTGTATTGAATATTTTCCAATTTGAAGATAACAAAGCAAAAAGGTTGTAATTGATTTTTCCAGAAAAAGGACAGTTTTCTGAGCTTTTGCAACATTAAGCAACCAATCGCATTGAGGATACTTAGACATTTACAGTAGGTAAATGTTTTGCATAGGGAACTCAATTTCATTCAGAACATTTTGCTTAAAGGAAAGTTATCTAAATAGAGAAGAATGTTCAATCAGTGAAATCAATTATTTTCTCTTGAGTGACGCAAATCTATATAGATATTTTATAGTGTAGCAACTCTGTGTGTATGTGTGTGTGTGTGTGTGTGTGTGTGTGTGTGTGTGTGTGTGTGTGTGTGTGTGTGTGTGTGTGTGTGTGTGTGTGTGTGTGTGCGTGCGTGTTAAACAGCTTGAACTTTTTAACTCATAAACTGCTCTCTTTCAGATCCTGTACTGATCATAACTTCACCACTCGTCTAACCTAACAATGATTGTCTCTCAACCACTAAGTCTTAATACAACGTGTGTTAAACATCCATGAACTCTAACTCGTCAAACTTTAAATGTGTCAGATGTAACCCCCTCCTCTCTCCCATCTCCCCAGTGCTCGCAAGCGGCCCATCCCGTACTACCGGCCCAGTCCTTCGTCCTCCAGCCTGGACAGCAGCCCGTCGCGCTCCAGCCGCAGCCGGAGCCACAGCTCAAGCAGCTCCAGCCGCAGCAGGAGCCACAGCCGGAGCCACAGCCGGAGCCACAGCCGGAGCCACAGCCGGAGCTGGAGCCGGAGCCGGAGCTGGAGCCGCAGCAAGAGCCCCTCCCGCAGCCACCACAGCTACGACAGCCGCAGCAGCTATGACAGCCCCGGAGTCTGACACTAAACACGCAGCACGTGAAGAAGGGAAACAAAAACAACCAGAGGAGAATCATGATCTTTAACGGGGCCTCCACAGGGCCTCACTGCTGTCCAACCAGGGCCCAAACTCCTCGCCCCTGGACCATCATCTCTCTCTGAGCCTGGATCAAAGTGGAGAAACGTAATTTGATATAGCACATCACTATGAAATTGGCTATCACTATTCACGTCTTCACAAAGGCATTAAAGGAAATGGGTCACCACATGTCGAAATTAATTTGGTAGAGCCCAAAGAACAAATCTCGCTGTATGTTAGCACTTTCTTTCTCTTCTTCCACAACGCAACCAAAAATGAATTCATTAAGAACTATATACTATATAAATATATATAAATATATCCTAACAGTAGGAGCTGAGTAGAAGATAAAAAGAGGACACATCAACTGCTTAATGAACATTTCATTACATTTCTGACTTTTTTTTCCCAATCATGTCCTCATCTGCCCCAAAGACTTCCATCTCATCGAGGAGCAGAGATCAACACCAGTTAGAACAAAAGACAAATTGGCGGATGAAATGGGGAGCAAAAAAGAAAATGAACTTTTTTTATGATAAAATGGTATTGTATAGGTTTGTCTGTATAGTAAACTCTTACGTTCTGGCTTTGTAAACTATGCACTGTATATTCCATCTAGTTGAAGGAGGTTTGTTGAGCATGATGCGTCAGGAGAGACTGGCAGGAAGTAGAGGTGCATCAGAGCTCCCACTGGCCTATACAGTATGTCGGGAGGGGGGGATTATTTATGATGTACTTTGACTCTTCCCTGTTTAAATTATTATGTTGATTCTGCTAATCCTGACTGTGTGTGTGTGTGTGTGTGTGTGTGTGTGTGTGTGTGTGTGTGTGTGTGTGTGTGTGTGTGTGTGTGTGTGTGTGTGTGTGTGTGTGTGTGTGTGTGTGTGTGTGTGTGTGTGTGTGTGTGTGTGTGTGTGTGTGTGTGCCTCCTCTGCAATGTCCAGTGAGGTAATTATTTATGTGTACACTAAGGCTGCTGTATGGTAGTGTACAGAAAACTGTCTGCAAAATGTCTACCATACACACACACACACGTGTTGACCACAGCTATTTATGATCCTATTGTATTTATTTGGTTATTTATTGGTTATTTATTATTTAATGTATTTATCATGAGCTGAAAAGCAGTTGGGTCATGCTTTAAAGACGAGATTGTGATGCAAACATGTTCCCTGTACTGTTCATGTCCACAGAAATCATGACAAGGCTGACGCCAGCAGGGTGGATATTTGACTGCAGTGTGTTTAACATGCTCTTTGTAGCCGTTGGGCAGCAGACGGTCTTCGCCCACAGTTTCTCCCACGGATGCCACTACGGCACCCCCGGCCTCTTGTAGTGGTTAATTTGAATGCAACCATTATGACTCTGCTTGTATTGAGGACGGTGTGGAAAGAGGAGTCCATTATTCTACTCTACCGTATGTTTCCAGCCTATACATATTCTAATCCCTTGTATAATTGGCCGCAACATGTTTCTGTCACAGGTCCCCTTGTTACCAGGAGAATATAATGTGATGTAACCTAGCATAGCAGAGACGAGACACACAGCTTCAGTAGTACAGTGAACAAACTGGCGACACAATCAGGGATCACCCTAAGTCTTCCTTACCATTCGACCAGCTTCATGTCACTCAGTGTTGCATACCCAGTGTAACCCAACTGAAATAATCTGCAAACATGTTCATTTATTCCAAGTATAGCATCGCCCCTTTGGTTCTCCAAGTCATTCTTTGTAGTGTACAAGTTATAATACCTGACAATAAACAGAAACAAATGGGGAAATAATAATGGTGTTCTTCTTCTTCTGCCGGCGTTTTGCACTTATTTTCCTACAGATGGCACTGAGGAGAACTGTCCAATACTTGATACTCATGACAACTTTGGCCAGAATGTTCTCCAGCTCTGTAGAATTTAACATGGGCAGATAATGAGACTGGCCCAATTCCAAACTGACCCCATCACCCTTACACTCTGTGATGAGTGAACTCAGTCTGTAGTCACACTCTCAAACTGGAACTGTTCTAACTTTTATTAATCAGCTAAATCTTTTGGACAAAAGAAAATATTTCACTCGTTTTAAAATCTGTTTATGAGGCACTTGGCTTTTGCAACAGTCCCTGTCAATATACATTACATACAACATATACATATAAATTGTACAATTAAATGCACACATGTTACTTTAGGTTGAACCACCATTGCTACTTTACATAGGACTAAGGCACACAAACTTTACACTAGTTTTGCCTCTTTTTGTCATTTCTTTGTGTCACTTGGAAGTCAAGTCGCTTTGGTTTTGTGTCTCTTTATAGTTGTTTTTTTCGCATTCAAATGGTTTGGTCTTGTAGTTATGCTTCTAAACGGGTGGCTGCGAGGTCTGAGGCATATTTTATGTTAAGGTTGTCTCTCTACCTGGAGTTGATTACTACAAATGTGGCACAAGTGTCCACTTCGACTCTATGATGAACCAATTAGAAATTGCTGGTCAAAGTCACTGTGACTTTACATCGGTCCCATAGTAAGGAAATGGCCATTCCCCCCAAAAGTATCCCCTTGCGCTGATTTTGGATAGCAACTGGTGGCATCCCATTGGTCCCAAGTTTGTTACCGAAAGAACAATTTAAAAAGAACACTGTGAACCCTCAGACTCACAGCTGAGCTGGACCCTATAGTGTTACTGGGTTCAAGGCAGCACCTATATCAGAAAGAGAACATCTCATGAGAGTGCCATGGTGAGGCTGGCAGGAACACATCTGTGACATACAATCAGCCACACAGAAGTAATCTCAGGCTGTCAGCAGCTATGAGAAGCCACAGGTTTTTGGTATTAATAATATGAGGGGTTTGCAGAGAATGTCACCAACACTCATCTGATGACAGGCAATTGTGAAGCTGAATGTAAGCTGAACCTTATGGATAATGTGTCGAGTCAACAGTTGGTCCCCCTAGATACGCTGCATCCATGCGATGGGACCATGGGCGTCGCCTGGGGCAGGCATCCGGGGCTTTAGCCCCGGATGTTTTTTCTTTAGCCCCGGACAACTTCTCCCTCAATAATATAATACATTAACCTACTTTACCTATAGGACAGACGGCAGGAGTGTAATTTCCCATGTTCAGTGAATGCAACACAGAGGCAAGACGACGCCACCAGACCAATCAGAGAGTTGCATGGACATAAACGTGTTTTATTGGCTGACAGGTACGTACCTCTCCTCTGTGACAATGTTTAAACTTTAAACTGTCAGCCCCGGACGCGGAGATTCTGAAGATGGACATTAGACATTTCTTTAATAAAAAAGACGGCAATTCTCAGGTGGTGGCTCACACAACAACCCCAGAGCCACCACCTGAGCCAGGTGAACAAGGTATGTACCTGTCAGTAAACTTACAAGTTATGCGAACATGTAAGCAAAGCATAAATTATAGCTACGTTGACGTTACTTTGAATCGCGCGGGTAAGCTAAACCGTTAGCAAGTAGCTATAGCTAGCCAGATATATTAAATAAACACTTTGTCATACAATCTAAATGTTGTGTTTTTTAGCGTTACTTGGTGGTTTCAAAGAAAGCTCTCTGGGAAATGTTGACTTACTGTCTGTGTTCGACATGAAGCTAGAAGCTACCTTACAGTACACAGTTGATCCTGATTCCGGAGTCCTGTCAGTTAAAGTGTTTCATAGTTAGCTTAGCTTAGCATCAACCTAGCACTGAAATATATGGATGTTATGTGACAGTATTTCTGAGGAAAAGTCAGCTGAAATGGTGGCATAGTTGCCACTGCTTTACGTGTCGACAGCATGTTTGAACGTATTTGCAGCAGTACATGTGGCTGTCTGGCCACTGACGTTGCCATAACAACACCTGCATTTAAATGTGCAACCTCTTTTTGAGACAGATTTTGCATGAAAATATAATTCTTCTGATTGATATTCCTATTGACAGCTAGTTTCTATGTGAACATTATGAGATGGATAGCCAGCTAACAAGCTTTTTATACAAATATTTCAGATCAAAGCCAATCCAGTGGGGCTCCTGAAAGGGGGCAAGGGACACTATGCTCCCAAATATGAAGCCTTGACCCGCATCTTAAAATTGATATGATCAAAAAATGATCTGCATTGTCGGAGGCCTTTTTTCCTCATTATCATGTCAAATTGTACAGCTTTCCTTAGTGTTGAATGCAGAAAGATGACTATTAGAGTATTAAGTGAAAATGACTATATTAAAGTTTTAAGTAAATGTATTAAGTGAATTACTCAAACTGCATTTGTATAGGAATGATTCTGTCCTATTGGCAGATAACTACTCTTAACAGTGATATCTACAAGAGGTTTCCAATGTAAATGTAACTATTTTCAATTGGTTAGTATTACATTTTGTGACAGTGTGGTGACACTCATTTGAATGAAGACACATGTGTGTATCTTGAAATTCATTTATTTGACAGAGCTGGAAACTGATTGACTTACATACTTGTTTGTGTTTACCTACACAGTCATCACAGATGAGCCAAACAGATTAGAGGATGAAGAAAGGAGAACAGGAGAAAGGGACACACAAGAAGGAGATACAAAAGACAAGAACGACAATGGAGACAACAATGAACAGGAACACCAGAACAGACAAGAGTCAATGGGTAACATGACTGATTTAGGGACTGCAGATACAGGGCCAAGGCAAGTGAGACACCACTGCTTTCCATCCAGCATGTTTGGCCAGCAAGATCATTTCAACCGCAAACAGCAAGAGATGAGGGATTATTATTTCCTCCTTCCATCCCTGTTTTCTGTTTAATCTGATTACTAATAATTTGACATAGTTTGACATAGTTTATGATTTAATTGGAAAATGAAGTGTTTTTAAATAATAAACCCGTTTCTGATTCTTTGATTTCTTTTTGACATATGAGTGTTGAGAGATGTATCCATATCTCTTGATGTTGCTCTCAAAGTGCACAAGATTGATGCTTTTGACTTCAGTATTTAAAAAAAGTCTTCCTGGGGGAGCATGGCCCGGCCCCCCCAGAGGAGGTGAGTTCCCCCCAAAAGAGCACTTTATCTCTGCCTATGTAACTCCGGTGTAGTGTCCCCTCGGCAACAGATCACTCAGAGCTGGTGATTACTTTCCTGCATTTCAATGGACAGCATATAAAAAGGACACGTGAGCTGCATTGCTTAAGAGATCCTCTCATGCTATCTCTTTTACAAAATAACAACAAAACAAAACATCAGTGATCGTATAGTGGTAGTATATTTTTCACAAGCAATGTGAAACATTAAACTTATACAAACTGGTGTAGAAAACTCACATACCTGCGTTGGTCTCCTGGAGTGTCTCTACTCTTTCTTCTCCACATCTCTTGTCCACCATCAGAGATTGCAAACATTTCAGAAACAGCTAGAGGTAGGGGACAAACAACTTGTTCGCTGGGCATGTCAAAAACCTCCCTGCTTTGATCAAGACTTTAGGGAGCCTTTAGCCCCTCTAGCAAAGGGACTGGAAAGCAAGCTGTGAAAATGCAGTACCATCTACATGCTGTCATGTTCCAGACACTGCTCTCAGCCACTCAGGGCCTGCACATATACCTGCAGAAAGAAACAATTGACTTGGTGCAGGCAGTAGATTACAAAACAGCAGTTGAGAACACACTGAAAAGTTACCGAAGTAACGAGAAAGCACATGAGGTCTATGACAAGACCAAGGCCCTGAGCAATGATCTTGATATTCCCGAAACTGTGACGCAGAGGAAGAAGCGTAGAAACATGGAAGACTTTGTAGTCAAGGCATCATGTGGAGCAATGTGAAACATTAAACATAAATAAACTGGTGTATAAAACTCGCATACCTGCATTTCAATGGACAGCATAAAAGGACTCTGAGCTGGGTTCTGGTGCTCAGATTAGCTATTGATGATCACGTTGATAAATCATATAAAACAAATAGCCAATCACACTAAAAATATGTTGCTGTGACTGTGAGCATTAAACAATTAACATTAAGCTAAACAAACACAACAGTACGTTATTGTCCTTATAAAATAAAAACATACATTTTGTCCACCGAGATAATACAGGCACCTTACCCTCAAGAGATCCTCACGTGCTATGAGAATCTCCCACAATGCATTGCCGTAACAAAGCTAATGCAGGCACACGTTTGTGACACCAGATGGCGCAATTGTGTATGTGCGTGTGGGGAGTCTTGCAGTAGAAAATTTGACTGTAGCGCCGCCACTGTGGGCTAAGCCCCGAATGTTTCCAGGTCCAGGCGACGCCCCTGGATGGGACCAAGTCATTTGCAAGTCCTTAGCGTTAAGTTTCGGGTCATAAACAGTTCATATAAACCCAAACATTTTGCATACTGCAATACGTTTTTTGTTGGCTGCTGCATAGTTCTTGTATGTGGGCAAAATTGCCTATTGTATCCTGCTTGTGCTCAGCTTTTTATATTCAAGGTTCCCTCCTGCAATTTGATTGGATGCTGTTGGGTCTGGGGAATTAATTAAGTGATGACTTGCTGTAGCGTAAGGGTAGTTGATTCAGGTCATTAATTGCTTCTATAGCACACTATTTAAATACCAGTATCAAGTATTTTCAGGTCAAAGGTTCAAGGCTGATTGAAGTCATTAGTGTAAAAGTCCAAGTCAAGTCTCTTTTGTCGAGTCTGAAGTCATCAAATTTGTGTCTCAAGTCTGACTCCAGGACATGCGACTTGAGTCTACACCTCAGCTCCTCAGTGTCATCATTTCACCTTATGACCTGAATTATTATTTTTTTTAACTTGGCAATATCACCCCAAACTTTGTGTGCTTGTTAATAAGTGTGTCTGCAATGTTCACTTTCATCCATGTCACAAAATGACAATCCCCTGTGTATCTAACATGAGGCTGACAATAGCAAAGAACAGTCTGTACTGTACTGTACATCTCATCATGGCTTATGAAGAGCCATGTTAGAAATAGCATGTTAGTCTTATCTGAGTCTGGGTTTCTATACTGTATGTTCAGCAGGCAGAATGACTCCCCCAGAGAGAGGGAGGGGGGGATTACACACAGTGGGGTTAACAGTACAGTGCACTAGGCAGCTGTAAGTGGGGAGGGCCTCCCTTTGGATTCCATTCCAGTGCTACGTCTGCCTCAAATAGATATTCTGGTAGCTTCCAAAAATACGAGCTGGGGGCTTGAGTAGGAAGGGAGGGCTCTGTTGACGGGGGCAGTGTCAGTGTGTATAAAAGCCCTCAGCTGAGAGGTAGACAGCACGTTGCGGGAAAACATTCTCACAGAGGCCAAAGAGCTCTTCCTACACAGCCAACAGCTCTACACTACAGCCGAAACACAGCAGCCATGACTGAGAGACGTATTCCTTTCACCATGCTCCGCACCCCCAGCTGGGACCCATTCCGTGACTGGCACCAGAGCCGCATCTTTGACCAGACCTTCGGTATGCCTGCCTTTCCCGAAGACCTCAACACATTCCCCAGCAGCCACTGGCCGGGCTACATGCGGCCCTCTCTCATGGCCCCAGACATGCCCTCCATGGGCCAGATGAACACCATGGGCCAAATGAACCCCATGGGCCAGATGAACCCCATGGGCCAGATGAGCTCCATGGGCCACATGATGCCCCAGAACTCCATGATGTACCCACCGGCCATGATGGCCCATCAGGCCCGTGCCATGTCCCGCCAGCAGAGCAGCGGCATGTCAGAGATCAAGCACAGCCAGGACAGCTGGAAGGTGTGCCTGGATGTCAACCACTTCTCCCCTGAGGAGCTGGTGGTGAAGACCAAGGATGGAGTGGTGGAAATCACTGGTGAGTCCCCATTTCTCTCTCACTGATCACCTGCTTACTGTACTCTAGTGCAGGCTCATTCAATAAGCACAGAATATGTGTTTAATAATTAGTTGTAGGTACTACTGTACAAAGGCATCATACTAGTGACACAACTAATGATGAATTTCATTGTCGATTAATCTGATGATTATTTAATCAATTCTCTGTCAGAAAATGGGGTTCCCAAAGCCTCTAATGACATACTCATTATTTGTCTCTAACATATAATAGACATTATGTCATTGAGGGGTAAAAAAAACTGAAAGTATTTACATTTAGGAAGTTGGAATCAGACAATTGTTTCTTTAAAAAATATTCAAACTGATTTATTGTTAATCAAAATAGTTGGGAATTCATCAAATAGTTGAAAAGTAATCTTTGCAGGTCTTGCTCTCTTATTCTTTAGCCTTAACAATATGTTAAGACTGAACTCCTGACAAAACATCTACAATTCTGATTGAAATATAACTTCATGTGCTAACAATTTGTTACCGTGTCAAACCAACTGTTAATTCCTGAGGGCATTAGAAAGGACAAACAATAAAGTGAATAAGAAAGGAGCACAATATTTAGATTTCCTCACGGACTGAAACGAGAGGTAGGAGGTGTGTCTCATGTGTGTAAGAAAAACTGCCACAGTGCAAACATAAAGAACAAGATAAAAAGGCAGGACACATTTATACACAAGGCAGAAGCATTGCTGCACAGTTACATAATATACTGAGACAATATACTGCGTTCCAGCACACTCGAGGGCGGGGGCTTTTGGATACATGCCTGCAAATGCAAAACAAAACACAATGCAACATGTGGGAGTCGCCTTTAACAGCAGTTCCAGAGTGCCCAAACTGTTTTATTAAAAAGCCGGTTTCACTTTTAGGAGTGAAATATTTTCATTCTCCGTGTAATGTGAAGGACCAAATTGAAATGTGCCAACCTGAAGAAATGTGAAATTGATCATATAATAGCTCAGCTCTCCAAAAGGCCTTGAGCTCCTCTTTTCTCTGAGTCAGTCTCGGCCTCTCTGTCAGCCATTTCTCTAAGAATCATGCTCTCATAGGAGGGGATTTAGCCGTGACACACAAAGCGTGTCCTGCTGCTTTACAAGGACTGCTGGATCTAGTCCAGGTACAGGTTCCTGGGCCGGACTATGGCCTGCTCACTGCTGAGAGACAGGAACAGATAAACAAAGCATGGGGTCTCGTCCAAGTAGAATTTGCCACCTCCTGTCACCAAAGAGAGGGGGTTATGTGATTTAAGATCATCAGCTTAGTGTAAACTCTGAAGGGCAACCTCTTTTCATGAGTCCTCATTTGAAAGAGTGCAGACTTGCCTCAGATACACTCACAATAGTAGTGTCTTGTTTAAAAAGGGGACAGCTCCCTGCGGTAGCCAGCCGTTGTCATAACAAAAATATCATGCTTCTTTATTTAGAGCAAGAATAAAGGGTGGTGTTTCATCATGACAGCCAGATATCTTAGTGGCCATGGGACACTGACAGAAGCTGACTGATGGATCTTTTTGAGTGATTTGGCTGTGGCTACATGGGGGGGGGAAATGACAGCACAAATATTCCACAAAAAAGAAGCCCATTCATTGTAGCCTACTCTTGGAATTCATTACACATTTACATACAGTTAGATAACATTGCACATTTTCCCTTTTATGGAACAATTCGATGAGAAGATTGACGCCACTCTCATTTGTGTGTAGCATATGAAGCTAGCACAAGGACTCGGTTGTCTTAGCTTAGCACCAAAACTAAAGGCCCTGACTTTCGATTTTTCTTCCTGTACTGATACGGCTTACTTTGCTGCATAATGACTTTTAGAGGACTGCTGATAAATGTGTGGAGTTGACATACAATATAACATCATTTATGAGGTCCTTGTAGACATATTTCATTAACGCAGACCCGGCACCAGAACAAATCTACAGTGAGGGCATATGATTTTCATGGGAGGGCACACAAAACCGTCACGTTCCGCGGCCCGAGATTTTCTTTTGGGGGTGCTGTGGGGTAGTTTGACGTTTCATAGAGGGTTCCCAAACATGTAGGGTTTCCCATTAGTGTACCAGGCACTACAGTGAAATGTTCTACTGCAACACTCCCCACACACACAGTATACCCGCGACTGCTATAATGAAGGCTCGATAATCAGCTCACGGCATATACGTGTAAGCAGGGGTAAAGTGCTATTTTTATAAGTGGGAAGTGGACCTAACCTCCTCTAGGGGGGTCCGGGGGCATGCTCCCCCTGGAAGATTTGTTGTTTTAATATTGAAGTTAAATGTATCAATCTGGTGCACTTTGAGAGCAAAATGAAGAGATCTATGGATACATCTCTCAACACCTATATGAAACAGAACTGTAAACAGATTTACTTTTTCTTTATGGATATTTTACAAATCACTCCCCTTTTAAACTGTATTCTTGTTTTACTGTCATATAGTATTTCATACCTGTTTTTCATGTATTACTCTGACTGACATCACATACATCGAAGCATTAAAGTTCACAGTTTATTTATAACTAAAAAAAATATTTTTATAAATAATAAAAAACGTGTTTATTGGGGGAGGGCAGGAATGTCAAATGGGAGGGCCTGGGAGGGCCTGGCCCTCCCAGGCCCTCCCACGGCGCCGGGTCTGCATTGATGTTGTCCTTTAGTGCTAAGCTAACAGGTTGCTAGCTAGAATGTTTATATGTTGATAAGTGTTTCTCTAAATCTTAACGAAACTTCTTACCCCTACTTGTGATGTCTGCATCGCCTTAAGATAACCTAACCCAAGCCCTAAAGCAAACCACTGATGCTACAAGGAAACATTATTCTAACAGGAAGGAAAGACAATTTAAAGAGGGACCAGACTCCAACAGACTTCTGCACAATTTTATAAAATGTCAAACCATTACACAAGTTGGCCTGAATATTCTTCTAAGTAGGCCTGCTTTGGCTTTGTATCTGACATGCATTACATCAACACAATGTGGTGTACAGTATGGTTGATAAAATACAATACAAACATACTAAAGTAGGAAAAAAGCAACTGTAGTCAAACAGGGCTGCATTTCATTTAGGTGTACCAGTTCCATGGTGCTGGTAGTGTACATGCTGACATAATGTAACAGCTATTTTATGCTTTTGATTTAGCCATAATCAATGATAGTGCCACATTGATATAAAACGATGTTTTCTATTTCCTCAGGCAAGCATGAGGACAGGAAGGACGAGCATGGTTTTGTGTCCAGGAGCTTCACCAGGAAATACACGTGAGTAGGATTTTCAAAGAATATCCATCTAGAATACATTAGTTTTATTTTTGATCACTTGTTACACATTTGTTGTTCAGCTGATGTCAGGAAGCTACTGGCCATGCAATATGTCACAAACTCACTTCAAATCTAAAATATTTATCATTACATTGGTTTGTTGTGGCTGTTTGATGGTGGCTTTGCAGTGAATGTCTGTGGAGGAAATGTATTTCTCGGGCTGGGCTCAGATACCTGGGATTCTTTTTTTATGATGTTGCTGCTGTGGGTGTCTTTAGTTTTGGTTTTGGTCCAGCCTGTAGATGGCTGGCTGCTGCTGATAGCTGGATTTCATGCTCTGAAAAGCAGAAGCAGCCTCCACCTCATCCTGCTGGAGATTTAAGCTCAATAGGACTCTGCTGCCATCCAGGGGCCACAACAATACGCACTGAGCTGGTCTTGGATCTGATTTACCCCTAGAGTGACTCAGGCATTAATGTTTCAGTCAGTCTTGTTTAAATAATGGGTGATTTATCAGACTTATATCTTATGTGTGTTTCCCTCCAGCCTCCCATCTAATACTGACGTTGAGAAGGTGAACTCCTCCCTGTCTCCTGAGGGGGTGCTGACCGTGGATGCTCCTCTGATCAGATCCATCGAGGGCTCAGAGACCAAGATACCTGTCAACGTGGAAAACAAAGGCATGCTGAAGAAGTAGAAAGAAAGTAGCAGTTATTTTGTAAATCTAATAACAAAGGTCCCAGGAGAGCATGCATACCACCAGTCTGAGTGTAGAACGGTGATTGTTGGAGTAAACACTGTGGGACTGAACTGGAATTGTACTGCATGCAAACGTGGAATAAAGGAAACAAAAAATATACTGAGTCTCTTCTCTTTTTTAAGTGTTAATTTGCATATTGGTGACATGACATCATGGAAGTAGTATCTTGAAGAAGTGTGTGTTTTAAGTCTGGAAATAGGATAACACATGGTGATGCTGGGCTTCTTAATGTTTTGGTATCTTATGCCAAATTATTCATCTGATGGTTACCCATGCAAAAGAGAGCAAGTGAAATATGTCAGCCCATGACAAACAGGATTCTGCATCACTGTTGTGGTTTATATAAGAATTGCGCCCAGGGCCATAATGCACCAGGTTTCATTAGAATTGTGACAAAAATATTATCTTAAAAAATGTGTCCTGAAATTACAGCGTCCTCGTCAGGCCAATCAGTATGATACTACATGTTACTTGTTAGACGCTTTTATCCAAAGCGACTTACATACACTCAATACTGTGGGCAATCCCCAGAGGAGCAATTTGGGGTGAAGTGTCTTGCCCAGGGACACAACGACATACTGACTGCAGTGGGGTTTGAACCTGTGCTCTCCTGATCCACTGCGCCACCCGCTGAAATTATTTTTTTAAATAATAGCCCAATATTCATGACATACATGTCAGAAATATTATATACAATCACTCATTCAGTGCAGAAGGGACAGGGGTGAACTCAAGTCAAATTAAGTGTAGTAACTCTACAGTGTAGTATCTTAATATAATAATACAATGTCAATCATTAAAGGTGGGGTAGGTAAGTTTCAGAAACCGGCTCGAGATACACTTTTTGTTATATTCCATGGAATGCTCTTAACATCCCGATAGCAATGAATATCTTAAGTGCTTTGACAAAAAATCCATAAAAAAATGTCATCTGTGGAACCCGTAATACTGTAAAAAGTACAACCAATCCGTTTAGCCGGCCACCCCTGTCTGTCAGCCTTCCATCTCGTGCACGCACAAATGTATCTCGTGCCGTCATTGGGCGTGCATTGCGCGTTCATGTGTGTTGGAGGAGGTGCTCTGTAAGGAAGTCTGAAGGAAGGGGCGGATTCTTTTCGGCTGTGTACTTTCAAATTTTAGTGCACTCGAGCCGGTTTCATAAACTTACCTACCCCACCTTTAATTGTTGATAATTTGTATTAATAATTTGAATATGTAAAATATCTATAAACTCAAATTCACACATGAATGGTGAAGTTAAGGGTACAATACTTGCTTCTGAGGTGCAGTGGAGTAGAACGTCTCTGATTAATTATTCATGCCCATCAAGACACATTTTTGATGGAGATTTCTATGCTTTCGACTGAGCAAGGTCATTGAAGACAATGGCAACAGGCATGGATGTTAGCGCAGTCTGGTGGAGCCAGATGTATTCATATGAATACCTGTAATTCATATGAATACAACCACTTATTATTTTGTATTTGAACTATTGACATTACAAGGTATATTTTAGGCCTGGATCTGTTTTTTATTGGCCTGTCGTCGACCCAACACCCAGACATTTAGTACAGACACTCATCATCCTGTTTAGTGATCTCAAACCTTTCAGAAATTTGAAATATATTTGTTAAACAGTACACAGTCACCTTTATAACTGAATCATGTTGCTAACTGAAGGTCCACTATGTGCTCAATAAATGCTAATATTTGCCAAAAATGTCCACCCTCTCATTGTCCACCCTGTCAGCAAGCCTTCCCATGACAGGGTGGACATGGTACTAATAGTTTGCCATAATTTCATTATTATCCAAATACTTTTTCCATTAACTGAAATATATTGTTGAGAAAGGGACTAAATAGATTTCTAAAAATGTGTATTTTATAATCACTATGTAATTACAATGTATTTACTCTACTTTGAAAAGTTTGTCCATTTCAGGGTGGACACATTTTGCTGTCTGCATGTACATTGTCTGCCTGCAATTAATTTATTAATTATTATTTATTATTGTGTGTGTAAGTGTGGGAGCTGGACCAACATCCATTTATGACAGCATAACCACTTAATACAATGAATATGAAGTTCAATGTAAAATCTCAGCTTTTTCTTTTGGAAATGGGGAAGTCTCAAATGCACCGTACTGTATGCAGATATTGACTCATGAGGCCATGTTTTCGTTTGTCTGTTTTGTGCCTGACATTTTTTTTAGCACATGTGGCTATACAGTATGTGCTTTATTTGTGTTGAGCATGTGGTTTATGTCCACTGCAGTTCACTTTTAATACTCGATTCTGGATAAACTTATATTATATTCTGGATGAGCTAACATCACATGGATACTGGATATACTAACATTACCTGGATGATACATCTACTAACGTTACTTGGATACTGGATTGACTAAAGTTGCCTGGATGCTACATACTGGTTTTACCCGGATACTCATTATAACAATGTTTCATGGATACTGGATAAAACATCCCCTAGATGCTGGATATATAACGTTAACTGAAAGCTGGGTATACTAACTTTAAAACTAAATGTGTTTTCAATTCCCTGGAGGCAAGAAACACAAGTGGATTGTCTACTCGAAACCAAATCAAGTGTATTTACAACAACAAGCAGTATAATTACACACCAAATCTAGCTATAAAATGTCATATTTTTCTGTATTAACAGAGTATATCTCCTGTTATTGTAACACATAATCTACTAAAAACCATGTGTTACCGTTTCAGTTTATTCCATCCAGGTATTCACCCCTCTCTCAACAGAAAGAAAATCAGTCCCACGGTACATTCTACCATTACTTTGCTATCTTCTGATGGTAGCAGCTTTTCCCTAATCAATTTAGTACATAACTTCGTGTAAATATCTGTAAAATCTCTTTCAATGTCTCCCATGCTGCAGTACCACACTCTGCCTGAACTGTTACTGTTGTTCCTGTAGGGGCGCTGTTTCACCAAAAAACAAATATCAGTAAAACCAATGGGGAGAAATAAATAATCCCATTTTACTGGGGGCAATGTATGTATGCAATGTCAGAATGTTTGCAGGACCTGGTGGAGCAGACATGCAAGCTGCATGATGTAGATTAAGAAAACAGTCCCATGCAGAGTTCTTGGGCAGGGCCTTGGCGGTGGTCTGCACTCTTCGAGGGGCCCTTCTAGTTTTCACTTAATTACATAATCAAGTATGTCTTTTTACAGGACCTTTTTATGACAAACTATAATTTGACTGTGATTTTTTGTTTTTCTAAAACACTTTTGACAACATAATGACATGCTATACTAGGATTCCTTTGGTTTAAGGAACATTTTATCACTGGAGCAGTTTCTGCTATTTTCTGGTCCACACTGATGCATGGCTGTCGCTCTACAGGGACTCAGGTTTTATCACTGCCAGGATGCCTTAAGAAGAGTTACATAACTCAAGACAGTATAAGCAAGGATCCCGTTTTCATGTCTCCCTTTTATTAGATACATGTGATTTAATAGGACTCTGGAGAAACAGATTAGGATGTGTGTGCTAATTTAAACTCTGGAAATCCTGAAGCCATGCATTTAGGAGAAAGATGTAATATATTTTAGGCTATGAATAATAAATGAACAAAAAAACCTTGAGAATATGGACTGGAATTAAATAAGAAAGGCTGGTGTATGTACAGTAACTGAAGTAATGCGTTGTTGTAGTTTCTCACCATCAGGTCGGTGTGTTTTGTAGGCAAGTCCTTCAAGACCAGTAGAGTAATGTGTCCTGTATAGTGGATTTTATTACATCCTGCCCATTTCCACACAGTAAAAATATGCACTGTACATATAGGTAGAAAAACACACATGGTCAGGATGCAAGGATGGAACTAGGCCTGGGTCAGACACTGGAAATTACATCCCCACACCAATTGTGTCTGTTGCAATCAATAAGCTGCATGTACAGTGTGGAGCTAATAATACTGCATGATGTTTTGTTTGTTATTGCCCAACTCCCTCCAGTTAATCATCAGTCAATGCAGGATGAAATGAAAGCTGTTGATGTTTTAAATGGCTGCTGGTTTTCATCACTTCTTTTTCTTCCTCCTTGTCAACTTCCAGTCATTCATGTTGCATGCCAGCCCACTAATGCACATACTAACTCCACTCCCGACTCCAAAGCTGCAGGGGAGATCTATTTATAGAGCGCTCTGCTATGCACTGAGCCTCAAGCATGTTGTATAGTTACACAGGGTGGACGTGAACTGGTGCCTTTTACCCCCTGTGGTCCCAGACCTGTGGTGAATAATAGTCGGCTATTAGATTAGATTAGAATCTTTAATGACCACACAGCCAGGCTGGTGGAATTCGTGTTCAGTGCAGAGTATTACAACTTGTTCCATACAATTCAACATACAATAAACAGACAATAAAAAGTACAACACACAGCACAGGGCAAAGACATATAACATAAAGTTCAAGGTGTGGTGGATTGTTATTGTTCATTGGGGTTATTTAGAGTCCATTTAGTGTCCGTATTGCAAAGGGGAAAAAGCTGTTTTTGAAGCGGGCGGTTTCGGCGGACAGTGACCTGTAGCGCCTCCCTGAGGGCAGAAGTTGGAAGACATGGTGACCTGGGTGGGAGGGGTCAGAAATGATTTTCTTTGCCCTTGTGACAGTTCGTTGGTGGTGAAGTGATTCGAGTGATGGAAGGGGACTGCAGGTGATTTTTGATGCTTTATTGATGATACGTTGAAGTTTATTCCGGGAGAGGTTGTCTGAACTGCTGTACCAGACTGTGATGGATGATGTGAGGATGCTTTGGATGATGGCTGTGTAGAACTGGATTAGGAGATGTTTCCTCACTCTGTATTTCTTGAGCTGCCGCAGAAAGAATAGCCTTTGGTTGGCTTTTTTGTATATGTGGTCTGTGTTGGTCTTCCATTTGAGGTTATTGCTTATGTGAGTGCCAAGAAATTTGAGTGATTCTGTGGTGGAAATGAGTTTGCCAGAGATAGATAGAGGTTATTTGGGCTGTGGCTTTCGCCTGAAGTCGATGATTATCATAAATATCATAAATAATCAGCCTGATCTCACATTTATATTTATATTACCTTGTTTAAAAC